AAACCAAAATGCAACTTTTTGTAGCTGATGATAACTTACATGCAAGCAAAGTTTTGCCAAAAGAGAAAAGTGAAAGTAACCTTGAATAGCTTCTATATAAACTAATACAAAATCATCATAACCACCATTACGATATCACCATAAGAAAAAATTGAAAGTTAAAAACGATAGTAACCATGATAGCTACCAAAATTCTTACACTCATCATCGCAGTAAAATTGTCGAATTTTAAAAATTGCAGTTTTGTTGAATAGCGTAAATAATAACTTATACAAAATTGAAATAATCATCATTACAATAACAATTTTTGTATCAAAAAAGCAAAGGTCAATTTTTTATTTATGGTTATATATCTAGTACAATGTTTTCCGCCATTGTGTTAGTTACGCTTTTTAACGCGTCGGTTTTGCATGTAGTGTTACACCATGAAGAATTTTTTTTCTGGAATACCAAACAGAGGGAACTAAAACAATTTTTAAAAATGGCCTTATTGTATCATACAGCGCTCCATTTCTAATGAAAATTTTACGTGTTAAGATGGCTAAATGCTTATGTTAAATTGCGAAGTGGGGGAAACAGGTTAGTTCACCATGTCATTTATTTGCAATATGAAAAAAGTTAAAGTTGAACTTGCAAAGGTGGTAAAAAAAGAGACAAAACTTCTTTTGTTTTTATCAATGAAGCAAAAGCCAATCCATAATTTATAATAACATTATGTTAAAAAATGTTTCACCCACTTGTTTTGCTTACCCTTTTGAACATGTCAGTTTTGCAAAGGGTGTTTCCTCATATATGTTTGTTCTTTTTTGAATATCGAACTGTGGGGTCTATTTTTCCATAGTGGGAGCTAGTGATTCATTCAGAGGCCAGCCGAGGTTTGAACTGTTTCACACTGTGTCTTTTTGAGGACGCTGATTCAAGTAAACACTTACTTGAAGGACAAAAAAGTTTCAACATATATCTTGTTTGACTTCCAATGAAGATTACTCTGAAGCGTTGCATAAAAAATTTTAAAAATTTAGATTGCTTCTCTTTCTTAGGAGATGATACATCGTTCATTTGGCAAAATTTTCTATGAAAAGCAAAATTTTCAGGAATTTCGAATAGCCTAGATATTCAAAAGCAACAAGCAATAATAACTCGAATGATTATTTAAAAAGTGTCATTTGGCAATTTTTGTACGCCAGAATTAAAATTTAATGAAAAAGGACATGACAGCTCTGCTCTTTTCCACTCATCTCTTAATTTTATGAAGTTTTCATTTTCATCACTTTTTCTTTTTCAAGAAACAGTAGCGCATTAATTGTGAAATGGTGTTCTACTGCTCCAAAATACTTATCATTGATCGAATTGTTTGCTTTTGCGGAGTAAAAAACCGGTTGGCAACTTGTAAGCGACTGTTTCTGATTGTTGTGCATACTATTCAACTATTAATTAATCATCGGAAGAGAAGTTCTCGAACTATTTCCAAAGCCATGGCCTTGTGTTGAATCACGATTACGATCAATTGTATTGTTCCGACTTTTGAAAAAGTGAGGAAGGTAAAGGCTCGGGGTGGTTTTCTATTCAGACCAGTTTCAAAAAAAAAAGACTGCTCGTTTATCAGGGTAGAGCCCTGAATGTTCCGACTATCCCTTAATTCATATCGAATAGTTTTTGGGAAAAGATTCTATTAAAAATCTTTAAATTTTGGGCAAAATCAAAGTGTAAAATTTTGAGTCCGGCGAAATCAAAACGACCAATTAGCAAGCCTCAATTCAATTTGGAACAATTTCATTGTGTGGGATAATTCGCCACGCACAAATATTTTGCATTACGCTCTCAGCAATATGAATAAATTCTTCAAAGCGCGAATAATTTAGTCCAGAACATGGCCAATATGGCAACTTTCAAACCCCCAGATTTTGAAAAAATAATCATAATCCGAGGTAAAATATCATTTTGCATTTGAACTTAGGAAGTCTTTGAATGGGGTATAAAAGTTTTTGCCGAAAACTATTATTTCGATCGGCGAAAACTGAGTGAATAAAAAAAACCACACCGAGCATAAATATTCCGTTTTCTTCGAAAGTCAGGACAATAGTTTCTCATGAGTGACCGATCCCTGGATCTACGAGAAACCTACCAAGTGCGCGCACCAATCTAGTAATATGGGGCGCAATTATCTTAACTGCTCGTTTTATAGTGTGATGCTGAAAGTGTAACGCGAAATGTTTATGCGAATTATTATTGTTCCGACTTTCGATACGAAAGTAACGGAAAATTTGTGCTCGGGGTGGGTTTTTTTTTTCTTCAGACAAATTTCGACTTTTTAATTAGCCACTTTTGACGGAATTTTTTTATATCATTCGAAAGCTATTGTTGTCCTGAGCCTAATTTTGAAAAGATATTTTACCTGTGATCATTTTTCGTAAAGTTATGAGGGTTTAAAGATTGCCATTTTGACCAATTTGGGACAATTAACGCGCGATATAATTCGCGCTATAAACGCGTAAGCGGAGATTTAATCCGTCTTAGAAATCAATCCAAATTGGTTAGAAGAAGCTTATTTTCCATAATTGATTTGTTATAAGGAGCGAAATCTATTGTTTTGTTCTTTATATGGCGTGTGGGGGGATAATTTTCATCAAAAAAAGTTTCAAGTTTTAGAAAAAAAAATTTTTCATTTTATTTTATTTCATTTATTTTTTTTAACGTTTTTTTTGTTATTACTGCTCCATAAACGTTAAAAGGCAGTCGGAATTTTCAGGGCTTTGCCCCAATACGAGCAGTCTTGTTAATTATTTACTACCAAATTGCTCAAAATTAAATTGAGGCAAGCTTAGCTAACCGACTGCCTAATTAATCTCATTCGCGAATCAAGTCTTAGCTCTTAAAAGCTCTTTGGTCTTATTAAATACCATATACACGACTCAAGTTTTAACATGTTAACGAGACCAGTTAAAGAGCAATCGTAATATTCAGGACTTTGCCCTAATTTCAGCATTTTGGATAGAATAAGTGATAAAAATAAAACAAACAAATCGGATTATATCTCTTTTATTTTGTCTTTGAACTAAAAACAATTCATATTCTTGCCCCAGGAACCCTTAGATATCGAACAATTGAAAGATTCCCTAGGAAACTTCAGTTTTTGTGGCGAGAAAGTCTGCTAAAATGATTGTTGCTGATTGCAACTGTGACTGATGTCTTTTTTGATTTTATTTTTTTTTTCGCTCAGTTTCCACTTGAAATTTAATTAAAATCCTTTTGAAAAATTAAAATATTTAAATTTAGGATGTGCTCGAACTATGTTTCGACTGCGCTCAATCGAAATTGGTTGAAAATCACTACCGGCAGAGTTCAGCTATAAAGTAACGACAATTTGTGCTCGGGTTGGGTTTTTCTTTCTTCAGAAAAATTTCGACTTTTTAATTAGCCATTTTTGACAAAATTTTATTCTATCATTCGAAAGCTATTGTTGTCTGAGCTTAAATTTGAAAATATATTTCACCTGTGACCATTTTTCGTAATGTTATGGGGGTTTAAAAATTGCCATTTTGGCCAATTTGGGACAATCAACGCGCGATATATTTCGCGCTATTAGCGCGTAAGCGGAGATTTAATCCGTTTTAGAAATCGTTCCAAAATGGTTGAAAGATGCTTATTTGCCATGATTGATTTGTTACAAGGAGCGAAATCTATCCTTTTGTACTTTATATGGCGTGTGGGGGGATGTTTTTTTCATAAAAAAAATTTCAGTTTTTAAAAAAAAAAAATTCATTTTATTTTATTACATTTTTTTTTATTACTGCTCCATTAACCTCAAAAAGCAATCGGAACATTCAGGGCTTCGCCCTGATACGAGCAGTCTTGTAGTGCTTTGCGAAGGAACTTTTTCAAAATTATCCGCTCTTGTCTGCTCGTCAAAAGTTACAGCTATTGAGATATTGGTTGATTGATATTATCGATGGGAAACTCCCTATTTCAAACTTCCGGGAAACACACGCTTACACCGATTTAACCCTCTGAAAACGTTTACCATTTCCTTTCCCCCCACCTGCAAATTTTTATATCTGAAGTTACCGTTCACTTTGTCCGATTGTCGTGAAAATTGGCATGCAGACTAATTAGGCCATAACAAGCATATGTGGTCTTGATAATTAACCTTGTAAAACCACTCGTTAGACCATAAAGTTCATGTTTGAGTGAGGTGGGGGGGGGGGGAGGAAAAAGAGCCACCAATTCAGCTAAGGTAATCGTTTGAAGTTATTTCTACAGGTAAAACCAGCTGAGAATCGTTGATTTTCCCATAGGGAGTGACGTTTTGGGAAAAAATCAAATCTGAAGACAATCCAATTATTTTTTGGAATACTGCTCGCTCAAAAACAAATTTCAGGTTCAAACAAGCCTTGAAACATTGGTTATAATTTTTATTACTCTAAAAACCTTTCATGCGAATTCATTATAACTACACGTGCAGTTGTGACAAACAAAAGGAAGGCGAAATGAAGTTTTGGAGAGTTATAAATTTCTGTTTTAACCTCTTAGCCCCGAGGAACGCTTTATTGGTATTTTCAAAGTCTTCCTTTTCAGAATTTCTGATAATTGGAGACCCGTTATATGTTATATGTTCTTTGAAAGTTATAATAAAAGTAAGGGATACTTGACTAGATTATTATGAATACTGTAAATAAAATTCCACTGCGAGTATTATTTATTTTATTGGCCAGACTTTCCTAGTATTCTGAATTTTATATATTTCCAACGAATCCAACAAAATTCTTTTGCTTTATTTATCCTTTTCTTTTTTCATTAAATCGCCAATTTTTTTTTATAATTCCACGGAAAAATAATGGATAAAAAGACCAAAGTGTCTCTTATGAAAACCGTTAAGACAACTGTTGAAAGTTTTTTCATCCCATTTATCAGGTTTTGAAAATATTTTCTGAATTTTTCTTTGTTCGAATTGTTTCAGGAGAATCGATTATAAAACTGACACCTAGGCGATCCAACTTAAGAAGTATTGGCAAATTAATCTGACAAAGTTGATAGTCGGAGAATTCCAGCTTCTGCTTTTTTTTAGATTTATTAAAACGACATCGCGATTTTTTCAGATAAAGAAATTACCATTAACCAACGTAAACCAATCACAACTTTTAAAAATTCATCAAGTTGCCATCTGCAAATTTATTTTAAATTTTCAATATTTGCTCCATTGATTTATAAGTAGTAGATCAGCTTTAGAGTTCCTTTAGAAAAACTGCTTCTTGCACTTGAAGGAGTCAAATATAGTTTGATCAATCTTCACGTCTTTGAGTTCAATCGATAGATACACTTAATGAATAAGGTCGCTACCTATATATACCCAAAGGATTAACTTATTTCGTTATTTGCTGCAACAGTCGTTATAGCTGCACAAAGAACATCAAAATCGGTCGTCATTTATTAAGAGATTTGAAACAAGATTTGCTCTCCTTTTGTGGCTTATTTGACGCTAACTTTAGAAATTTCTATTCAAACTTCATTCACTCGATAAAAGTTACTTTGAGTTAATTGAAATGTTATTGAGTTTTTTTCTTTTCACGTGTTTGTTTTTCACGTTCACACTTCGTTTGTGTCGCAGTTCAATGACTGGAACTTATTTGTACGAATACCAGGAAAACCTTCTCTGGACGGCGGAGAAAAATACTCCGGCACTTCGGCTGCTTCGGGACCTCACTCGGAATTACAACCCAAATGTGAGGCCAGTTCTGAATGACAGTGATACTACGGTAGTCGAACACCTGTATATATTGCATCAGATTGTGTATCTGGATTCAAAAGTAAGTACAGAAAAGCAATTTTGCAAATCTTTTGAGTAAATTAAAATCTCCAAAAAGAACGAGGGCTCAAAAAATGCTCAGTTACGCTGAATTTTTCCAGAAAAGTCTAAGGACAGAGTATCGACTAAACTGTGCCTGTTAGAATTTTCTTGTAGCTAATGAATTGCTCTCAGAAATGGTTGAGGTTTTTTTCGAAAGCCAAAGAAAGCATTTTTTCTAAAACATAAATGACAATAAATTGCTTATGGAAATTTTTCTGAGAAGTATCTCCTTCATCTGGTTTCCACGCCTATATGAGTTAATTTGGTTAATATACTTTCTTAAGTAAATTAAGTCATTCCGATTATTCAATTTCAACAATATCAAAATTAAAATTAAACAAACTATGAGAAACAAAAAATTGAAGTTCAAATTTAACACGAGAAATTCAAAAATAACAAAGACAAATTTGAACTAGAACTGTAGCAGACCATAAAAACAAAACAAACATTATTGTTCACACCCAAATAATTGTATATGTTTTTCTTTCAAAATAGGAGTAATAAACGTGAGAACGTTTCCGCACAGAATTTCCATGGATCAAAACTGATTACATTTGAGTCTAATTGTCTTTATCTGATAAAGCAAAAAATTTTCGGTTATAATTGAATCGCAAGAGATTTCATTAATTTAATAATAAATTGACAATAAAAACCATCGCAAATCAATTATAATCTTTTATTTTTTAATTAATAACAAAGAAACTCAAACATAGTCAATATTTTACATAAAACTTTGATGAAAGAACAACCTCAGCTTAAGTTCGGATTTGAAAGTTTTAGAAAGCTATTTTGTGTATTCAAAAATTACTGAAAAACAGTTATTTATAAGTACAGTAATGTAATTTTTAAAATATCTTATTCTTACAGGCTTTTTTGAGTAAGTGCTGTAGCTGTGTTTCAGGGTTCGTTAAGATTTTCTAAGAAGAATTCGAGTTTTCTGGAAGCTTCTAAAGCTTTACTGCTTGCGTTCAGTAAATTGAAATTTTGGTTTTGAAGTTAGGCTGAACATTTTAATGTAGGAGTTATTCACACAAGTCCCATATGAGGTTAAGGTTGATTGGAACCATAGCCATTGGCTCAAAGGCCAGAGACACTACCTCTTTTGCTTTTACACCTCAACCCTTCCGAGCCAAAGCGTATTTTTGAAGATGTTCCCGGGTTGGCAAAAACAATCTAGCATATAATTTTCTCATATAACCCCAACAATTAAAAAATTATGGAAAAACTGATGTCTAGTTTTCTTTCATATTATATATTTGTACAAATAAGATTTTTCCATTTATTTCGAGATTGCCTATTTTTTTGCTTCGATGGGTTTTCGTGTTTGCTTCAGAAAATTGAAACGCAAATAACCGGAGTCCAAAAGTTACATATGGCGCAGAAATATTCAGCGTAACATATGGCGCAGAAATATTCAGTACCGATCTAGCTATCGATCAAAAATTACTTGTTAGAATTGTGAATTATTTTTTGAATTATTTTTATTAGTTTAGAATTGTTCTCTTCCACATAATGGAAAAATAAAACTATAAATTTTAATTTTGTAAAACAAAATTTATCGGACTGAGTTTGCTTGAGTACGAATTGTTTGAGCTATTGAAAAGAATAAAAAAACTTTAAAATTTGAACGTAATGTTTGACAAAAAACTTAACCAATTTTGATGTATTGATATCAAAAAATGAAATCTCAGAAGTCCCATAAATGTATCATTTCGTAACACAATTAAGTGGTTCTGTGTTTTAGTAGTCAAATTTTGCATGTACAATATCCTCGTATTCCGGGTTGACCAAAAATGCTATTCAAACAGTTTTCTTATACATCAAAATTATAATCATAATCTTCATGCAGTTCCAAAATTATACAAAATTGCATGAAAAGTCTATGAGTAGTTTATCCAAGAAAAGTTTTTTAAATTTCTTTTCTCGAAACTATTGAGTTGTACTCTTAACCAAACAAAAATGACAAAAACCTTAGTTGACCAAAGCCAGAGCCACCAAAGGGGTCAACGGTTTTGCAGAAAACATGCTTAGGAAACGACCTGAATATAGATGTCTTAGACACACAATATAATGGAAGTAGTAAACACTTTGCCAAAAAACTTAAGGGATGCTTTTTTTTTAATTTGAAGTTTCAGTTAATCGAGCATTGTCCAAGGCAACCAGAAGCAGGGGCGGATTTAGGGGGGGCGGCGGGGGGGAGCGGACGCCCCCCCCCCCCCCCCCCCTCAGGGATTCGACCCCCTGCCGACCCAAAGGGTCCCCCCTTTGATACTTTTTCAGAAATCCATTTTTGGCCGACCGACCCTAAAATTTTTCTAAAGGCGCCTTTGGCGCCAATATATACTAACTTTGAGGGGGAGCGCGCGCCAAAAAAAAACGCGGTTTTTTTTGTCAAAATTTTTCAAAAAGTGCCCAAAAACGGCTTTTTTGACTGTTTTTTCAAAAATTTTCCTGCGGCGCAGAAAATTTAGCCAAAATGGGGGCAAAAAAGAAGTGCTTAGAGAGAGCTCGAAAAATCAATTTGGTCGACCTAAAAAAAAAAGGTCGTCAAAATTTTCGAATTTTTTTTTGAAAATCCGCCCCCCCCCCTCGAGAAAATCCTAGATCCGCCCCTGTCCAAAAGTATGCAACACAAAAAAGAGGCTTTTTGAACGCTTTGAAAAATGGTTACTACAAAACAGAAAAAATCAGCATTTTTTTTAAATCTAAAACTACGTTATGCACAAAGAAGTATAGGACTAACATCTCTGGTAATCCCGGGCAGCTAACGTTTTTCAAGAAAAAAATGACTTAGTTATCAAATAAATTGTTATCGATTACGGAAAAAAGGGAATATTTGTGCACTGAGTAGTCATTTTAAACAGTAGTCGTTTTAAAGTTGAGTAAATAGTCTTTTAATTTTTCATATTTTTTATATCATCGGTCAAATTTCGATGCTGAGAAAAAAAGTATTAACAAAGAGCTACGAAAAATTAAGTTTTGAAAAAATGTTTTTTTTTAATTTCATCTTTAATTTTGTATGAACGCGTACGGTTTGAGATAATGCGGCTGAATCAAACTGATTTGAGGAATACAAATTGCTTTAAATGATGCGTTACTTACAAAATCTATCAATTTGTATTGAATATAGAAGGGGGGTTTGGGTAGATGTATTTTTTCTTACAGGCGTTGCTGTCTGAAAAACGACTTTTCCAGGTTTTCACATTTTTTCCCAACATTTCAAGATGTGTGTGATCAAATGGAAAGTGGTATGTTTCTTGTCAAGAGAGTAGTTATGAACACTTTCGCCCACAATAAGTTTGGAAAATTTTCTGTGCTGGGTTATTTGAATGCCTGCTTTTTGGCAGATATTGGAAATGCAGTGCAACTAGATATCTCAAACTAATCTAATGCATGTTTAAGCCCCTGTTATTTTAGATAGAACGATCGCACGTAAGATTTTTCTATCATTTGGAACCCAAATGATTGATTTGTCATTTATGTGAACTGTCAAAAATTGAATTAACCGCACAATCCCCCCAGATAAATTTAAGGAAAAACACTAAATTTTTGAGACAAAACAGTTTTGAATAACTAGTAAGAAAATCTGAAGAAACAAAGAATCAAACTTACTATCTCCCCACCTAAGTGGCCTACCTTAGAATGCCCTCCGTAAGCATATATTAATTCTGAAAAATTATTAATTCTGTATAATATATTCGCTTCATACAAACACGCAAATAAATTAGTTTTTACATAATGAAAAATCCATATTTTCTACTCTCTAAACCTTTTTTTATGGGGGGAAGGGGGGGGGGGATAATGTACGGTTGATCCGAGTGTCAGCGCTAATTTGATTTAGATCCGTTTTTTTATCTTTCGATTTATAAGTCAACTGCAGTGTCATACCGAGAAACAAACTTTTTTTCCCGACTTTCAACAATGTGACATAATATTTGTAGTCTTGGTTGTTTTTTTTTCTCAAAGACATTTCCAATTTTTAACGGAACATTTTGGCGTGAAAGTCTTTTATTCAGTCTGCAAAGTATTGATGCTTTCAGATCAAAATTTACAGAACATACTCTGCTTTTATGATTTTTTTTTCGCAAAATGACCGAAATTTGAAACTTGCCAAATTGGCCGATGTGGGGGTAGTTATTTAGCTTCACTGAAGGTTTTGTATTATCGCGTGTTGTAAATGATAAATAAATCTGACCTAGGAATCTTAACAAATTGAGTTGAGGCAAGCAAATTGGCGTGAGCAACGTGTTACTATATAAAAACAAATCATTTGCTTCAACCCAATGTGTATGAGGAGACACTTTTGTCACTTTTGAGGATTTCATCATTTTTTAATCAAAATATTTTCCAAAAAACAATTAAAATTCGACAATTTTGTGCTGATGTTTGACATTTCAAATGATACAACTTAAATAGTCTTTTAACATGTGATATTCCTAAACTGCGTAGCTTTTTGTGGAATAAAAGTAAGAAGAGATACTGTTAATTTACTGTTCTTGATCTTGTCTTGTTAACAAGGTTTAGTAGCTGAGATTGGTTACTGTTTAATAGCTTGAAATATGAAACACTGACCAACTCATCTATAAAGTTTTAGTAACACCAAATGGCCTTGACCACTCTTACATAATAATAGCATAATAAATATAGTTAGCACAAATGGTTACAGCAGATGCAGTAGCTAGCAAACTGTCCTCAAGGTTACGTACTGCGGATGCTGCAGTACCACATTCCCCCAGGGACCAATAAAATTTTATCTAGTACATATAAAATTTTATAAATAACACTACTACGAGTTTTTCAGCTCAGTTTTTGTGATCCCATTGATGATGAAGGTGTTTAGTTTTTACTATAAGTTTTTCCAATTTCTTCTTTCTATTTTGAGTGTTTCTTAACTTCTAAAGGCACTTTCCACTGCGTGCTCCACGGTTGTGTCGTATCCAATGCGGCATAACCAAACTT